TTTTGTTTTATTACACTTTATCTTCTTTCTTTTTATATTCTCTCCTTTCTACTTTTATTCTTTCTTCATCATATTCTACTTCTTACTTTCTTTTTATTCTTTTATATCATTCATTCTCTTCTTTTTCAATTATTTGCTTTTTTTCGTTGCCGGATAATGACTAATATTAATATTTAAATAAATGGAGAATTAGCTGAATTACCAAGAGTAACTAATGATAACCCTTATAAATACCTTGGTATTGAAATAGGAGATAAAGTAAATATTAATAAATATTGTACAAGAATATTAAATGATGTATCTTCTATTTTATCATCATTAAATACTATGAAATATAGCAGCCTCAATACAATAAGAATGATTAATAATGATATAATCTCCAAATTAAGATATGGATTTTGTATTGTCACATGGAAACTAGGAGAATTGGTGAAGATAGATAAACAAATAAGAAAATCATTAATACAACTCAAATTATATAGTAGAAATATTCCCAAAAGTAGATTATATGTTAAAATAAATGAACTATGAATGTGATTAATGTCAGCAAGAGATGAATGTGGTAAATAATTATTAAGAATATATTTAAAATATAAATATCAAACACATGAATAGGAGAAATGATAGAAATAATAAAAGAAAATCCAAATGGAATAATTAAAAGAATGAAGAAAACATTTTGTAAGAATATTAATTTTAATGAATTAATGAATATAATAGAATTAAATGAAAGAAAGCACAATGTAAAGGAAATATTTGAATTTGTAAATAATGAAATGAATGATAGATATTTAAGTGAATGGAAAGAAAAGAAATGTGGTGAATATAAGATGTGCAAATGGCACTTTTAATGATAAGAAATTAACAGTAGCCACATGGATATCATTAAATATAAAAAGAAATACATTCCTCCAAATAGTAAAGATGCAAGAAGGAGTAAGTATGACAGGAAATATTAAATCAAAAATACTCCAAAATGATGCTTTAAAATATTGTAAACATTGCCCTAACACAATAGCATCTATTAGTCATATATTGTTAGGATGTCCTGTAATGAAAAAGAATCAAATATCAAAACATGATTATGTTTGTAAACAAATATATAAACATTTATTAATTACCCATTTTAATGAATTTGATGCAATTGACTTTAATAATCATCCAAAATGTATTAATAATGATAAAATGGTCATAACTTACAATAAAGATTTATTGGTTAGTGAAAATTCATTCAATGCTAGAAGACCAGATATATATTATCAAAATATGAAAGAAAAGAAATGATATATCATAGATGTTGCTATATGTCAAGATAATAATATAGAATTAAATTATATTCATAAAATAAATAAATACAAAGAAATACAAGAGAAATTAAGAAATAATAGAGAAATAATATATGTAGAAATAATACCTGTAATATTATCAATAAATGGATTAATACATAAAGAATCAGCAAGAAGATTAAAAACACTAAAATTAAAATTAGACTTTTCCAAAATCCTACGAACAATAATTATAAAAAATATGAAAGACTTAATGTTTTACACATTCAATTCTGGCAGCACAATAGAAGAAGAACAATCTAATGCGAGCATGCTAGAAATGAACTCTATTACACCAATAGAGCATATTGAAGAAAACTGAAGCAATCACTTCTCAATAATCATAAAATTCAATTATGGATATTTCTATTAATTAACCTTTTTTTTTCTCAAAAAAGAGAAATTAACAAAAGTAAATTTTTAACATTTATCTATTATATTATAAGTTTACTTCAAAATTTTTACTATTAATAATACTTACAAAAAAATATTCGACAAAAAGAGTATAAAAATATATTTTTGTTTTAATGAATAAATAATGAGTAAAAATAAATAGAAATATTTTAGAATAACACAAATTAAAAAAAATTAATCAATAGAGATATTATTTATGATTTAATAAATTAATTAACAATTGTCTTTGAGATTATTAAAAATTAAATTGTGCTAATGAAGTATAAAAATAATTCAAAAAAAAAGATAAATCTATAAATATATTATCATAAAATAGTCATGTTTTCATAAGAAAACATTTCATTCAAAACAAAAATAAAAATAATAAAAAAGAATGACAACATAACATCACTATTTATTTGTTGAGAATAATTCCTTTTATTTTTTTTTTGATAAAATCTTCGTGATTCACTTTTCAACTAAATACTTAAAAAAAATCATATTATCAAAAGACAACATGTTATATTAGCCAAAAAAATGAAAGAATAAAAAAGAAAAATAAAATAAAACAAACTTCAAAAAAAAATTATATTTTTGTAATGAGAAGAAGAAATTAAACGACAAAAGAAGATAAAAAGGAATAAAAAAATTGGTTAGAAATAAAAATATCATACAAATTTAAGTTAAAGCGAAGAAGTCATTAAAAAATGGATCATTTCTGTTTAAAGTAATAATTTTATTATCAACGAAGAGGGAATTTAAAGAGTTATTAAGAGATTTTCCATGAATATTAATTTGTTCAGAAGTTAATATTAATTTACCATTAAAAAGAATAGAAGAAACAATTTCATTTTTAACTGTAGTAGACTTTCCATTAGTTAATTTAGAATTAAAAGAATATCCCAATTCTTTTAAGATATCTATTAATAAATTATTAATTTCTGCTATTTTATTATTTTCCCAACGTCTTGACGCTGTTTTTGAACTAACACCATTTGAAATATCTCTTACATTAATTTCTTTTAATCTCCTTATAATAAATTCTTCTACTTCAACTATATCATCTTTGTATTGAATATTTTGAATTGTAACCATTTGTTGTGCAACTGTTGATCTTTTTTTTGGTGAAATTAAAGTAATTGTAAAATATTTATTAATAAGTGCAAGAAATACTGACTGTTGATTTGCTTGAACATTTCGTGTTTTTCTAAAACTACTTTCTTGTTTAGGATCATTAGATTGACTCATTTGGATGATGTTTTTGCTTAATAAACAAATCCTGAATGATAAAAAGATAACCTGAATTTTTTAATATTTTAATATTTTAATATATTTTTGAATTATTAATTATAGATAAAATAAGATTGATTATATTTCACCTTTGGATTTTTTTGAATTTGTTACTATTTCTTTAGTATTAAAAAATATTCAATATATTATTGTAATTTCTTCATTTCTTTGATTTAAATTCTTTCTCTATTTTTTTTTTTTTTTTAATTGAAAGAAATATTTAAAATTTAAATTATTTTTTTTTTAAAAAAAAAATATTCATTTTTTATTTATCTTCTTCTGAATTTTAATGTTTTTTATTTCATTTTTATTTTTATAATATTTTATAATAAATTTAAATTAATTGAATTGTAAAATGTTTTATAAAACATTATTCATTTAACATTTTAATATTTTTTGAAATCATTCTCTCTACTTCATCTCTATATGCTCCTGTAAATCTTTTGGTTGAAACTCCATTTACATAACTTACAAATGTTGGAACACTTCTAATATTATTTTCTTGAGCAATTTCAGGAAAATCAGTAATATTTACTTTTAAAAATTGAAGTTGTTCATTTTGACATAACTTTACTTGTTCATCAAAAAATGGTTCAATTGACCTACATGATGGACATGATGATGAGTGATAAAATACGATGGTTCTTCCATTAGAAATAGTATTTAAAAATTCTTGTTGTTCTTTAATTTCCATTAAAATTTTTTTTTATCACTTTGTTATTTTTTAGTTTTTTTTTTATTTTTGTTTAAATATTTTATTTTGGGAACATTTTCATTTTTGTTTTTATTTTGTTTTTTCTTTATTAAAACTATTAATTATAATTATTATTTCTATTATTTTATAATTCTCCCTCCTTTTTAAACTAACTAAAAAAAATTTTGTTAAATTAAAATTTTGAAAACAAAAATGAAAAAAGAATATCTTAAAAAATAAAGAGAAATGTCATTGATTTATTACAACTTTCTTGATTTTACAAAATCATTCCTCGAAATAAACCCAGGTTATTTTGCAATGTTTGGAACATTCTTTTCAGTTGCTGTTTCTGTTTTAGGTGCTGCTTGGGGAATTTTATTAACAGCTTCATCATTAATGGGTTCATCTATTCGAACAACCTTCAGATCAAAACACTTGATTTCAATTTTGTTTTGTGAAGCAACAGCAATTTATGGTGTTATTGCTGGTTTTATTTTCTTTGTTTGTCTCATCAATTTTTTTTCACTTAGTTAATCTTAAGATTGAATTGTGTTTATTTTTTAGGAGAAATTAAAAGAGACTGACTTTCCACCAACACCTGATCAATACAAAGCTGGTTATATGATTTTTGGTGCTGGTCTTGCTGTTGGATTTTGTAATCTTGGAAGTGGTGTGAGTGTTGGTGTTGCTGGTTCAGGAGCTGCATTGGCTGATGCTCAACTCTCATCTTTATTTGTCAAAATGTTGATTGTTGAAATTTTTGCTAGTGCATTAGGTTTGTTTGGTCTTATTGTTGGAGTCATTCAAACTGTTTCTGTTAGCTTTGAATAATACAGCTTTTACTCAAGTGTAAAAAGAAACACCATTTGGTTTCCTATTTTCTTTTTTTCAAGTTTTTTGTTTTTAAATGCTTAATTTTTATGTTCATCTCAAATAACAAGATGAGTTCATCTGAGTTTGAAACCCTACAAGAACAATTTGAAGAGCAACGAGCAAATGCTGAACTTCTTATTTCATATTATAACACTCGAATAGAAGTATTAAAAACAAATATTGAAATGACAAGAAATCGTCTTCAATTAGAAATTGAAACTCATCACTTAAAAAAAGAAGATGTTTGTCTTTTAGTTAAACAAAATGTATAAATTATCATTGGATTTAATAGTGACAAGTTAGTGTGTCAAAAAACTCGATAGTTTACAAAAAGAAATGAGAGATTTAAAAAATATTTATCAGAAGCAAAAAGATAGTCAAGATTCATTAGAAGAAGGAGGTTCAATACATAAATCCCAAAAAACATTAAACACATTAAGAAAAGAAATACAAATGCTTGATATAGAAAATGAGGTATTAGAAAAAAAAGCAAAATTAACTAAAAGTAGAATTGATTCAACAAAGAAAGAAACAGATGAACTAAAGAAACAATTAAATAAACTAAATCAAGAAAAAGAACAAGTTGAAAATGAATGTAGAAAAATTCAAGAACAAAGAAAAAGAGAACGAGGAGATGGTGTATCAGTTACTTCAACTGAAACAAAAAATTAATTACCAAATGCAATATAAACAAAAGAGAAAAACAAGCTATAGTTTAATAATTGTTAATAAAAAGATTAATTTGGGTTAATTATTATTTTATTAGAAGTTTCAATAAGTATAGTTTAGTTATTTGAAAGATTTATTATTCATTTATTTATTTATTTTATCTTTTTGTAATTTTTATTCTATAAGACTGCATCACAGGAACTATAAGAGATTCAAAGATATAAAAGAAGAGTTACTGGAGGAAAGAAGAACAGTATGCAAAAAAAAAGAAGAAGAACACTATGGGAAGACAACCAGCTAATACCAGACTTGGAGCTATTAGAGTTCATGATGTTAGATGAAGATATGGAATTATTAAAAGAAGAGCATTGAGATTAGAAAATGGAAACTTCTCATGGGCATCTCAATCTATCACCAAAGGTACTAAGATTCTTAATGTCGTTTATAATGCCTCTGATAATGATTTTGTTAGAACTAATACATTAGTTAAAGGTGCTATTATTGAAATTGATCCAGCACCATTCAGATTATGGTTCCTTAAATTCTATGGAAAAGATATTGCATCAACTGATTATTATAAATCACTCGAATCAGCTACATTCAAAACTGAAAAGAAAGTTGTTGTTCCAAAGGAAGAAGAAAATAAAGAAAAGACTATTGCACAACAAATTGCAGAAACACAAGTAGCACTTATGAATCCAAGTAAAACTATGCAAAAGAAATATGCAAAGAAATTAGAAGTATTAAAGAATATGAAATTTGATGAAGCCTTATTAGAAGGATTCCAAAGTGGAAGAGTTCTTGCATGTATTTCTTCCAGACCAGGACAAACTGGATCAGTTGAAGGATATATCCTTGAAGGTAAAGAACTTGACTTCTATAGCAAGAAGATTTCAGATAAGAAGAAATAAACTTAATTTGCAGTGCTTGATTTGTTATTTTTTATTGGTTCAAATAAAGTATAACCTGAATTAATAAAATATAAAACTTTAAAAAGTTAATTTGGTATAATGTCTACGTGTTTTTGATTTACTTCTTAATTCTTTAAATAATGGATATAAAACTCTTGAAGCTCCATCAACTTCATCTAATGGTGCAACATTAAATGGTTTATCATTTTCATAATATTCATCAACGGAAATCCATCCAGGATCACATCCATGAACAGAAAATGGTATTCCATTTTCTGTTTTTAAATGACTTGAACAAAGACATAATGTAAGCATTGCTAATGATGCTTTAGCCATATTTGTATGAATATGAAATTTTGATTTTTGACAATGAAAAATACCTTCTCTTGCATGTACAAAAATAATATATGGTCTAATAGTTGACTTTTTTAATAATGGAATCAATACTTTAGTTAATAACGTTGGTGCAATAGAATTAATTCTTATTACTTCTTCCATTTCTTTTTGATTTAAATCTTCTATTGTCATTTTCCATGAATTGATGTTTGTCTCTTTTACAAATTTTGCATCTCCATATCTGTTTGTTTCTTTTATTTCTTCTTTTACTCTATTTCTTTCTTTTTCTCTTACTCGTATAGTTTGAGCAGCACAAAAAATAAAATGATTTAAATGTCCATATTGTTGTTCAATGAAATTTTTAAGGTTTTTAAAATCATTTTCTAATTGATTATTATCAAGATCTAATCCTTTATTATAAATGATTAACCGTTCTTTGAAGATCTCATAATCTTCGTACTGAGAAAATAAAATTTTTGTATCTTCGGGATATCTTGTTGTTCCAATCACAGTACTACCAGCTCGAAGTAATTTTAACGTAATTTGATGTCCTAATTTAGTTCTACAACCAATAACCAATGACACTGTGTTAGATAAATCTCTTGTTAAATTTCTATTTTTTTGGAATAACTCACCACAATTTCTACATGAATAGACATATACAGGATGAATTGAAGTACAAATCCTATGACAACCATAACAATATGCCAGTTCATTATTTTTAAATTTGTATCTTTGAGTTGAAAGTGGAGTAGTTTTATCAAATTTATCTAATTCAGCTGCGGTTTTAGTTAATTGACGAGTAACAACATTGCATCCATCAACATTTTTACTAAATTCAAAGATAGATGAATTTTTAACAAATAAACATCGTTTGGAAGATATTTGATTTTTTTTGGGTTTCTTTTCTTTTTTGCTTTTGTAATTTTTGACGATATTCCCTTCTGAGTCTAATCTCTCAGGAGAGTATTGAAACAATAATTTTTTTGCTATTGTTAATTGTCGAGAAGCTTCAATAAATTTATTTCTCATAGTAATATACTTAGAGTATTCTATTTCACTTTTTGGTGGTGTTGTGTTTGACATGAATGAGATAAACTGAAGTTATCAATTAAATTCATTTATGAAGTTTTTATGAATATTTCAACATTGAGGTTTTTAATTAATTCGCAAATGAAGGTTCAAAAATGACACCTCAGAAACACCACACAAACATTAAAATACATCAAAACATTGAATCATAAGTTATTATTTGGTTATGATGTTATATTTAGTTGAACAATATCTATTTAAGGTTAATTGCTTTTTTATTATTAATATTTAGTATGAGTAGTTAATTATTATTAAAGATTATTTATTTATTGTTATGGTAGTATTATTTATTTATCAATATACAAATATATTTGATAATAAATGGGTTTGAATTGAAAATTGGTATTGAAGGAGATAAAATGTTGTTATAATATGATTGATATATTCAACACAAAATAAGAAAATAAAGAAAAAGGAATTTTAATATTCATTAAAATAAAATAAAAATTAAACAATAATTTAAATGAAGAATCATTTAAGTTGATGATGATTGAAAAAACATTAATTCAAAAGAGATCAATTGAGTTGAAGAAAGTGAACCACTTAATTCTCAACATGACAAAAAACAAACACTGATTTAAAGTAAGTTATAAGTAATTTATTTTACTTATTATTAAATTATTTTAGTTTAATTCATTTATTATTAATTCATGTATTTCAAATGTTTATTTCTAAATTTTTAGTAATAGAAAATATAATTAAAATTATCAACTAAATAATTAGAATCTTTGATTGTTTTAAATAAAAAACACTAAGAGAGCAGAATTTTATAGAAATGTTTCGTTGTTTCGATGAGGGCGGAACTCAAAATAAAAATGAAAAGGAAATGAAAATCTAGTTGAAAAGGAAATACTAGACCTATTTAAGAAGAAAAGAACTCTTGAAACAAAATTAAGTTAACTCTATGACACAACCACTTTCA